ATGCAGTATCTCTGCCTCCACTTTCCACGTGCGGAAATGTGTCGTCGGTAAAGATTACGCGGCAGCACGGGTGGATTTATATACGCCGTGAAGACTTGTGTGGGTGTGTGTTTCTCCCCGTGTATGTGTATGTGTGTGTACATTGCCTATAAAGAATTGCCAGGGGGAGGCCAGCACACTGTAACAGAGAGAGTCAATGAGCCGCGATCACACTCGGGGTCCGCTGGGAAATAACATGTAAAGAGATGCCTGTTAGTGTGGGGGCGAGCCCAGGGAAATAACCCTGGAATGGTGTGAACCTCTGCTGTCTCTCTCTGATGTTAATTCCCCGTGCAGAGCTCATACGTCCACGTGTACCGTACCGTACCGTACCGGTTCGCACATCACTGCCTCTTGTAGTCCACTTTAAATACTATGGTTTACCAGCTGAAAATACACCCTGGCGGCGGTAACCGTTATGCAGACGAAGTGACCACCTTGCTTCCGTTTTTTTTTTTCTCCCGAAGGCACGAAAAGACGTGCGATAACATCTGTCCGCGCGCATCCCTTTATAAATAAAAACGGTTGTGCGGTTTTCTGCTGACAACCATTGCTTGATGATAGTGTTACTTCAAACGCGCCACACAATATGACAATTAGTGGGTGGAAGGATGACACCGATCCGACGTCTTCCCGACAGCGTTATATCTGGCATGTTAATTCATAGCCTCTGGACACGGTTGCGGTGATAAATTAGCTGGTGCAGATTCTGCTAATGACAATGATAATTACAGTACAGAGCAGGAGTGTCAAACTCATTTTCACCAGAGGGGGGGCACATCAGTAATACAGTTCCCCCATGAAGGGCCGGTTGTAAACGATAGACCTTATAGATGTGACTAACCCATAACATATTAATAAATGTTTCTGCAATTGATGATTATTTATATAAGTTACAAATATTGTTCATAACTTTGTGTAATTAAAAAAAAAACTTTTTAATTTATCAGTTTAAAAAACTCTGCTGCATGGACTTTATTAAATGCTTCTTAAACTACCGTGGGCCATACAAAATGACACGGCGGGCCGCATTTGGCCCCGGGGGCCTTGAGTTGGACACGTGGTATAGAGAAAAGGGGTTTATAAACCAAGGATGAGGTTGAACGTTATTGATCCCGCACTGGGGGAATTATTGACAGAAAGAGAATGGCACCGCATGTTGTTCCTCTGGGAATCGAACCCAAGACTCCCTGCTCTCTGCTTGTAAGGCATGCGTGCTAACTGCTCCACTCTGGAACCACTATATATGGCTAACGTGCCTGGCAGCCAGCATGTGCAGTGGCTCCAAACAATTGTTGACAATATCGGTTGATTTAAGGTCCACCGAACCAGAGTTTGGGCCACAGAGTTAAAGGATCGCGACCACTTTTGTCCACAATGGGTCTTAGCATTACTTTGAGAATCAGTCCCATTCAAGTCTTTCATTAAGATGCACTGCATATAATGAGCAAAATTAGCATTTCTTTCAGAGTATAAACAAGGTTATTCTGTATATGACGTTTGCATTAGCTTTATAGCTAGCTAGCTACTCCTCGTTCTGCCTGCTAGTGATGACACGCAGGGTTTTTCCGACAATAACTTGTGCTTTTGAATTCTTAACTGGCCATCTGCTGCCATTGACGACGCTGCGAGTAATCATTTTTGATTCTTCCTCCTTCTCTCCGCTCAGATAACCGCTTTTGATGAGCTGCAGGCGGACTTCAAGGTGCCGATTGATCAGGGCAATCCACTTCATGCGGTAGGTTTACACTCCTTCCTCTTCTGTTTTGTGATTTTTTATTTTTTATTTTTTTTTAGGGATTGTCTGAAGATGTTTTGGCAAATAACAAAAGAGAATGAGGAATCTTACATGCTTGTCCATAGATTTGTCCAAAGAAATGTCTTTCTGATCCTGTCTGACTTCCTTGAGGAGTATCCAGGTGTGGGGTCATAGGTCATAGGAAGGTTAGGGTAAATTCCTGAACAAACTGGCCAGTGGTTGGTGCGCTCTTTCAACCACATGAAACGCAGCCAAGGTTAAATGTAGCCTCATTATGTTTCCGCTTGCATCCATTGTGCAACCAGATAAAAGCCCCCTCCAAACCATGCTCCAGGCTGAATTTCGACCCCTGCCTCCCCCTGCTGGTAGCCATTGCTGATATTTTTGCCCTACCTTTAGTTACCTTTTAAATTGTTTCTGCTCTAACTAATGTAATTTTCTGCAAAACTATATATAACCCTAACGGATATAACGCAATCATTTTGTAGTTTTTAATTCATTTTCTTAGTGCAGTGGAATCACTTGGTTCTGTTAAAGGATGATTTCATGACCCTAATGAATGAGAATTGACCGTTGTCATATATATATACACAATAATACCTTGAGATACGAGCAAAATTCGTTCCAGGACCGTGCTTTCTCAAATCATTTTTCCCCATAAGAAATAACAGAAAAAAAATGAATCTGTTACGTCCCTTAAAAAAAACTCCCTTATTAGTGCTAATAACAATGGAAAAAAAACGTTTTTAGTTGCTATAGAGACATACAAACAAAATTATAGGATATAAGGATTCATGTGATATAAAATAAAATGTGGTTTTAATTATGAGTTATCGCCTTCGAGACATACGATACAGTAGTGGCTAATGGCGGCATGTACGACGGAGGAGGATTCCGTAGCGTCCGCATTTGGCCCCGGGGGCCTTGAGTTGGACACGTGGTATAGAGAAAAGGGGTTTATAAACCAAGGATGAGGTTGAACGTTATTGATCCCCGAGTGGGGGAATTATTGACAGAAAAAGAATGGCACCGCATGTTGTTCCTCTGGGAATCGAACCCAAGACTCCCTGCTCTCTGCTTGTAAGGCATGCGTGCTAACTGCTCCACTCTGGAACCACTATATATGGCTAACGTGCCTGGCAGCCAGCATGTGCAGTGGCTCCAAACAATTGTTGACAATATCGGTTGATTTAAGGTCCACCGAACCAGAGTTTGGGCCACAGAGTTAAAGGATCGCGACCACTTTTGTCCACAATGGGTCTTAGCATTACTTTGAGAATCAGTCCCATTCAAGTCTTTCATTAAGATGCACTGCATATAATGAGCAAAATTAGCATTTCTTTCAGAGTATAAACAAGGTTATTCTGTATATGACGTTTGCATTAGCTTTATAGCTAGCTAGCTACTCCTCGTTCTGCCTGCTAGTGATGACACGCAGGGTTTTTCCGACAATAACTTGTGCTTTTGAATTCTTAACTGGCCATCTGCTGCCATTGACGACGCTGCGAGTAATCATTTTTGATTCTTCCTCCTTCTCTCCGCTCAGATAACCGCTTTTGATGAGCTGCAGGCGGACTTCAAGGTGCCGATTGATCAGGGCAATCCACTTCATGCGGTAGGTTTACACTCCTTCCTCTTCTGTTTTGTGATTTTTTATTTTTTATTTTTTTTTAGGGATTGTCTGAAGATGTTTTGGCAAATAACAAAAGAGAATGAGGAATCTTACATGCTTGTCCATAGATTTGTCCAAAGAAATGTCTTTCTGATCCTGTCTGACTTCCTTGAGGAGTATCCAGGTGTGGGGTCATAGGTCATAGGAAGGTTAGGGTAAATTCCTGAACAAACTGGCCAGTGGTTGGTGCGCTCTTTCAACCACATGAAACGCAGCCAAGGTTAAATGTAGCCTCATTATGTTTCCGCTTGCATCCATTGTGCAACCAGATAAAAGCCCCCTCCAAACCATGCTCCAGGCTGAATTTCGACCCCTGCCTCCCCCTGCTGGTAGCCATTGCTGATATTTTTGCCCTACCTTTAGTTACCTTTTAAATTGTTTCTGCTCTAACTAATGTAATTTTCTGCAAAACTATATATAACCCTAACGGATATAACGCAATCATTTTGTAGTTTTTAATTCATTTTCTTAGTGCAGTGGAATCACTTGGTTCTGTTAAAGGATGATTTCATGACCCTAATGAATGAGAATTGACCGTTGTCATATATATATACACAATAATACCTTGAGATACGAGCAAAATTCGTTCCAGGACCGTGCTTTCTCAAATCATTTTTCCCCATAAGAAATAACAGAAAAAAAATGAATCTGTTACGTCCCTTAAAAAAAACTCCCTTATTAGTGCTAATAACAATGGAAAAAAAACGTTTTTAGTTGCTATAGAGACATACAAACAAAATTATAGGATATAAGGATTCATGTGATATAAAATAAAATGTGGTTTTAATTATGAGTTATCGCCTTCGAGACATACGATACAGTAGTGGCTAATGGCGGCATGTACGACGGAGGAGGATTCCGTAGCGT